CTGCTGCCTCTCATACCTAAGATCAGAGCTACAATAGGCATTGCAGAGCCAAGGGAAGTCCTAGACTTCTCCTTGGCTGTGTTTATGTCCAATAAAAACCGAAGGAAGACCTGGCAGCCCCCCCACCCCCCCTACCAGGTGCTGCTGCTGCTGCATCTGAGGTCTGCTAAGGTGAATTTTTACAGATGGAGGGAGGAAATTGTGCTGTAGTCACTTTTAACTTAAGGGGGTAGGTGTTTGTATTGGAAGGAGGGATAGCTTAGGTAGAGGGGGGAGATATGTTGGCTATTCCTGACCACTGCACTATGCTATTCACCACTGACCTCTGCACCGTGTGTTACTTCTGACCTCTGCTCTCTGCATTACTTACTCCTGAACCCTGCACTGTTACTTCTGACCCCTGAACTCTCTGTTTACTACTGAACCCTGCACTGTGTGTTACATACTTCTGACCCCTTGCACTCTGCATTACTCCTAAAGCCTGCACTGTGTTATATACTTCTGACCCCAGGATTGTGTGTTACATACCAATGACTTTTGCACTGTGCGTTACTCCTGAAGCCTGCACTGTGCGTTACACCTAAAGCCTGCACTGTGTGTTACATACTTCTGACCCCAGCACTGTGTGTTACATACTTCTGACCCCTGCTCTCTGCATTACTTACTACTGAACCCTGCACTGTTACCTCTGACCCCTGAACTCTCTGTTACTACTGAACCCTGCACTGTGCGTTACATACTTCTGACCCCTGCTCTCTGCATTACTTACTCCTGGACCCTGCACTGTTACTTCTGACCCCTGAACTCTCTGTTACTACTGAACCCTGCACTGTGTTACATACTTCTGACCCCTTGCACTCTGCATTACTCCCTAAAGCCTGCACTGTGTTACATACTTCTGACCCCAGCATTGTGTGTTACATACTAATGACCTTTGCACTGTGCGTTACTCCTGAAGCCTGCACTGTGCATTACACCTAAAGCCTGCACTGTGTGTTACATACTTCTGACCCCAGCACTGTGTGTTACATACTTCTGACCCCTTGCACTCTGCTTTACTCCTGAAGCCTGCACTGTGTGTTACATACTTCTGACCCCAGCACTGTGTGTTTACATACTTCTGAACCCTTGCACTCTGCATTACTCCTAAACCCTGCACTGTGTGTTACATACTTTTGACCACAACACTGTGTGTTACATACTAATGACCTTTGCACTCTGCATTACTCCTGAACCCTGCACTGTGTATTTCATACTAATGACCTTTGCACTCTGCATTACTCCTGAACCCTGCACTGTGTATTTCATACTAATGACCTCTGCACCCTGCATTACTCATTGTGCTGCTGCCCTCTCATCTAACCCTTACCAATTTTATGCAAAGCAAAAATGTTTTGGCTACAGTTCTACCTGATTCTAAAGGGCCATCCTCAGCTTCACCAGAAGAAGGGCTCATGTGCCATGACCACAATCAAACCTCCTGATGGATGGCTGCCTATTCATGAAATAGTGTCAGGTTTAGTTCATACAATACAGGATAATGACCTTCTGTTAGACATACCCAATATTTAGAAAACAAGGTAGATCTCTGCCACCACCCTATACATCATTCTCTGCCATTGATCTGCAGGCACATTTTGGTAGTGGGATGGGGACATGCTTCTGAGTCAAGCAGTGTTGGGTGATGAGTATTTCTGTACATCACAATGCTGCACTGCTGAGAGGTTGCTGGTACACAGTGAAAGACCACCAAAGACATTTGATTTTTCCAGTTTTGGACAGGGAAGAGAAAGATTAGAAACATTGGTTTGTCCTGCTATCTAAGCGCTCCAATAAAAGGCTTTTCCTTTACATTCTGTTACAGTGACATAGGTGTCCTGGTGTCGGGAGTAGGGACCTCCAGCACACAGCCTGCGATTGACAGCCTCAGCTCTGTTCTTGTGTGCCTTGTGAAGGGGGACGAGTCCCATCCCTCTAATCCACTCTCACTGAGCTCTGTAGAGTATAACTTTAGCTCCCCTCCTGCTTTCTGAGGCTCCATGCACACTATTGGTTTTTTAAAGCTGCTAGAAGCTGTTATTAGCAATTTTTTTTTCTTGCTTCTAAATAGTGTTCTCCTATGTGTCAATGCATACTACTTTAGGCATTTTTTTGAGCTTCAGAGTCTAGGAGCAAAAAAAAAATTGTTTTTGTAGTTTTTTTTTTTTTTTTTTTTTTTGGAGTGTTTTTCCAGCAAAAAAAAAAAAATGCTAAACTTTACTACATGCTACTAAAACTCTCCTAACAGCTTTTTTCTAGCTTTTTTATACATGTACTGTAAAAACGCTAATAAAACACAAACGCTCCTAAAAGCTACTAAAAACGCTGTAGTACCTCTCGGTTTACGAAAGCCTCGGTTAACGTAATTTTCAGTTTACGAATGAAAATCCATTAAAAATAATGCCTCGGATTAGAAATTTTTTTTCGCAATACAAACAGATTAATTGGTTTTCACTGCATTTACAAATTGTTGTTTAATCATGTCCTTGTACAGTACTATGCCTTTTATAAAGAGCGTTGAACAGAAGACTTTTTTACTTTTTTCTGACCTCCGGAACGGATTATTTGGTTTTCAATGCATTCCTATGGGAAACCACGTTTCGGTTTACAAATTTTTTCACAATATGAACGGATTAATTGGTTTTCAGTGCATTTACGAATTGTTTTTTTTAATCATGTCCCTGTACATTACTCTGCCTTTTGTAAAGAATTTTGAACAGATAAGACTTTTTTTTTACTTTTTGCTGACCTCTGGAACGGATTTATTGGTTTTCAATGCATTTAGGAATGTTTTTTTTTGTTTTTTTTTTTTTTGTTTTTTTATCATGTCCCTGTACAGTATTTATGCCTTTAAAGTGCACTTTATAAAGAGTTTTGAACAGATAAAGACTTTTTTTTTTTTTTTTTTTTTTTTTACTTTTTTTTCTGACCTCCGGAATGGATGAATTGGTTTTCAATGCATTCCTATGGGAAACCACGTTTCGGTTTTACACATTTTTTCGCAATACGAAAAGTCCTGCAGAACGAATGAAATTCGTAAACCGAGGTACGCTTGTATTTATGCCTTTAAAGTGCACTTTATAAAGAGTTTTGAACAGACAAAAGATTTTTTTTTTTTTACTTTTTTCTGACCTGCGGAATGGATTAATTGGTTTTCAATGCATTGCTATGGGAAACTGCGTTTTCGGTTTACAAAAATTTTTCGCAATATGAAAAGTCCTGCAGAACGAAATTTTAAATTTGAGAAGAGACGACTGTAGATAAACAGGTACAACATATGCAGGAGGATTCGTTTCATCTCTGTGTATCACCTGAGGCCAGTCACTTCATTGGATGTACTGTATGTAGAAGGGTTTACAACCACTTTAAGCTAGAATGACTGATGGGCAACCTTGGGTTAGTGCGTAAACTATTACCTTTTTTTTTATTTACTGAAGGAAGCATCATTCAATGGCAGCACATACTGCACCCAAGCTGCCTGACAATAGCATCACTGACATTGTCAAAATCCCTCTTTAACCCCCCTGGCGGTATTCCCGAGTGTAGCTCGGGGTAAAGTTTCAGCACCACAAGCGGTAACCCCGAGCTACACTCTGGAATACACTGCAGTGCTGCTCCGGGATCTCTTCTGCACTTACCTTGTCCTTCGCTCCCCTCTACAGTGTCCCTGGCAATGTCCTCCGGCTGATGCCGGCATCCGTCTTCTGGGTTCCGTTCCCTGCGGCGTCGGGACGTACAGGGACGGAACTGGTGGGAAATTTGAAAATTTTAAAAGTGGCATTCACTAAAATCTCATAGTATTAACATTACTGTATCAAACCATTTCACATACATTTTGTCCCGAGTGCTTTGTCCGGCGCCCTGCCTGCATGTTTACTGTTCTTTCTGCCTGGAAACTGAGAAACGTCCATGGCGTCCAAAAAGCGTCCCTTTAGGTCAAAAGCGGTTTTAGACCGGCTAGAGAACAGCGATAGTAAATCAGAACCACTTGCAGAATTGAGTGATAATGATTTGTGGGGGAAATTCCTCATCAGACACTGAAAACGATTTTGCGACTGAGCTCAGCGATGTGCGAACTTGGCGCTCTATTTCACATTTCAATGTTTTTGGTTTGATTATATTATTGAGTTAAATGTAATATTATTATTTTTTTATGATTATTTATTAAAATTATAATTTATGATTTCGGGTTTCAAATTTTATCCTACCCGGGATGTTTACTAGACTCTTGCTCGGACAGATTTCAGTGAGTTATTCCTAAGAATTACAGGCCTACAATAAAAAAAAATACATATTTCCATGCAAAAAAATGTACCGCTTTGAGCACAGAAATATGGACATAATCAGACCACTAGGGAGGCTACCATCCTTTTGTGAAACATTCTTTTGTGAAACAATATTTATTACCAGGATCTGCATTAACAACAAAAATATACAATATAATCAATATGAGTGTACAGGCAGCAATAAAGCTTGCAGGAGTGAAGAGCACCGGCCAAGGTGTTTGCACATCAGGTGATGGAAACGGGACACATTGTGGAACACTGTCCATTTGTGCTCTTTGAAAGACAACATGAGCTATGTGAGGAAAGGAGAGTAACATCTCTTCCAGTGAAAAACTGGCTGGACTTAAAAGAAATGACAAGACGGACAGTGACGTTAGTATATGATCATACATTGGTTTAAAAATAAATGAGCAAAAGCCATTGTATGTTTACTTTCCTGGTTTGCGGTTGCCTGCCGGTTCCACGTCTTGAGTCCCCAGGAAGCAGGCCCTGAACAAAACGGCAGACATTCCAAGACTCCTTACCAGTAGACCAGAGCCTTCCCCAGAACATAGGGCCTTGGCCACTTGTGAATTTTACGAGTCCGTGGACACTGAAGTTCATGCAGCTTTTGTCAGTGAGAGTTGCCAACGTTCTCCAGGCCTGTATGGTGCAGGCTACTGAATCTCAACCTGGCTAGATGTTCTTGTCATGGTCTTCAGCCACCTCGTGTTGTGGAGCTGGGAAGGCGTGGTGATATAAGTGTCTGTGGGTGGCAGCAGCACTGTAGAGCTTGTACAGAGCCTACAAAAAAAGCAGGAAGTCACCAAGAATGGTCTGTCAGAGTGGTTCACTCGAAAAATGTATCATTGTCCCCTAAAGCAAGGGTCTCCAAGCTTTCTAAACTGCCGTGAGCCATACACTAGTCAAAAAATCGTTCAAATGGATTTTCGAAAACCCATGGTCGTGACAGCAAATGATGTTGCCTTCGTGTATTGACCGAATTTCGAACTGTTCAGTGGACATAAATGAATCTGTTTTTTTTGCTTCAGCAAGGCAATGTTTTGGAGTCTCGCAGGTCCCATTCATCAGGCATGCAGGGGCGGACTGACCATTTGGAAACTCGGGCACTGCCCGAGGGCCCGGGGTCAGTAGTGGGCCCCATGAGATGCCCCTGGTACCTTTTTCATATGCTTTTTTGAGTTTGGGCAAGGACACAGGGGCCCCATGATCCCCTATTGCCCGGGGGCCCCATGAGTTGTCAGTCCGCCCCTGCAGGCATGTGCCTGATGAAGGGGTCCTGTGAGTAGTCACATGCCTGATGAAGGGGTCCTGTGAGACTCCGAAACGTTGCCTTGCTGTAACTATGTGATTGTTCATTAAAACTTTTGAACACATATTGGTGATCCTCGGTGTGCTGGTGACATTCTCCCTTACTGATTTTGTTCGGTTCCAGCCAACAGTCGCTGCAGCACCCACTTATACACACCGCCATTTTTAACGCAGGAACGTGTACGTTTGGATTGTACACTTGTGCTCTGTGAATGGTCCTGCAGACTCCTGGAACCTGTGGGTATCCCAAGGGGTTTCAGGCAGGGGGAGAACTTTCGGTGCAATCACCTAGTCGATTCCAGTGGACAATGGGAGAGATACCTACCAAAATTAGGTACCTTCTCCCCCTCCCCCAACAAAAACCTGCCAATAATGTGGATGTGGGGGGATTAATAAAAGCGACATTTCTCATTTAGGGTGAAGTTCCACTTTAAGGTTTGGTAAGCTCCTTTACATTGAATTTTGCTTTTGGGTTTGGATACGCTTTAATCCTTTCCATCACTTTATTACGTCATTGTTTTGTTGTACACTAATGCCTTATACCTTCCATTTACATACATATCTTCATACCTATCACATGCAGTGCATTCACCTCTCCCTCTGCATACACAGAAACTATCAATCCAAGCATTCCGCTAGGGTGGGAACGATGTGAACTGCCTCTGATGTGCATGTTGTCTGCAGTGGTCTTAGTGGTGAACAGGTGTTTGTCACAAGAAGAACGCCATTAGCAGATGGTAGGGATACTAACTACAGAGTACATTGTATAGTTTAAAGCTGGGGTCTCCAAACTTTCTAAACAAAGGGCCAGTTTATTGTCCTTCAGACTTTGAGGGGGCCGGACTGCGGTATTAGTGGAAGGAATAATGCCCTGTCATTGGTGGCAGTAGGAGGAATAGTGCCCCATCATTGGTGTCAGTGGGTTGAATGCTTCATACTTGGTGTCAGTGGAAGGAATATATTTATTTTATTTCAGGTACTTATATAGCGCCGATAATTTACGCAGCGCTTTACACATATATATTGTACATTCACATCAGTCGAATATAGCCCCATCATTGGTGTCAGTGGAGAAATAGTGTCCCATCATTGGTGTAAGTGGAAGGAATGCTTCATCCTTGGTGTCAATGGAAGGAATAGTGCCCCATCATTGGTGTCAGTGGAAGTAACAGAGCCCCATCATTGGTGTCAATGGAGGAATAGTGCCCCATCATTGGTATCAGTGTGTTGAATGCTTCATACTTGGTGTCAGTGGAAGGAATATATTTATTTATTTTATTTCAGGTATTTATATAGCGCCGTCAATTTACGCAGCGCTTTACACATATATATTGTACATTCACATCAGTCGAATATAGCCCCATCATTGGTGTCAGTGGAGAAATACTGTCCCATCGTTGGTGTAAGTGGAAGGAATGCTTCATCCTTGGTGTCAGTGGAAGTAATAGAGCCCCATCATTGGTGTCAATGGAGGAATAGTGCCCCATCATTGGTGTCAGTGGGAGGAATAGTGCCTCAGCATTGGTATCAGTGGGAGGAATGCTTTAACCTTGGTGTCTGTGTAAGGAATAGTGCTCCATCTTTGGTGTCAGTGTAGGAATAGTGCCCCATCATTGGTGTCAGTGAAGGGAATGCTTTATCCTTGGTGTCAGTGAAAGGAAGAGTGCCCCATCATTGGTGTCAGTGAAAGGAAGAGTGCCCAATCGTTGGTGTTGGTGGAGGAATACTGCCTCATCATTGGTGTCAGTGGAGGAATACTGCCCCATCATTGGTATCAGTGGAGGAATAGTGCCCCGTCATTAGTGTCATTGGGAGGAATAGTGCCCCAGCATTGGTATCACTGGGTGGAATGCTTCATCCTTGGTATCAGTGAAAGGAATAGTGCCCCATTATTGGTGTCAGTGGAGGAACAGTTCCCCATAATTGGTGTCAGTAGAGGAATAGTTCCCCATCATTGGTGTCAGTAGAGGGAATGCTTCATCATTGGTGTCAGAGAAAGGAATAGTGCCCCATCATTGGTGTTAGTGCAGGATTAGTGCCCCATCATTGGTGTCAGTAGAGGAATAGTGCCCCAGCATTGGTATCACTGAGTGGAATGCTTCATCCTTGGTGTCAGTGAAAGGAATAGTGCCCCATTATTGGTGTCAGTGGAGGGATTTTGCCCCACTGTTAGTGTCAGTGGAAGAAATAGTGCCCAAGGGCCAGATGAAGGCAAGGAAAGGGCCACATCTGGCCCCCGGGCTGCAGTTTGGAGACCACTGGTTTAAAGACTGAAATTATTTTTGCAACTACCATACTGATGATAAATCCCATGACTGGGCAGTTGTGCGTAGCCTTGTCTATCTAGAGAAAATATACATTTTTTGATCAAGTTCAGTTAACTCTACAAAGAGACTCAAAGCAAAAACTAAACCCACGTATCCCTCACAGCCAAGGAACCTGCCATCTTTGACTCTGTTTGATCTGCAGTTGTCATGTTGCTGCACATGTGATCAGTTATGACACCAATCATTGATGACTTGACAGTCTAGTCAAGAGCACAGGCAGCCGTAACAGTTACCATTCACAGCATACCTCAAATATAGCTGTTTTGGGAAATGGGTTTAGTTCCACTTTAAGTGCAGAGCTGTCTTTTATTTATGTGCACAATTTGATGGAAATAAAACACCTACCTCATTGGTGCTCCCCTTTGTCAGAAACAGTTCAAAAGAAAAAGAAATATCAGGTTAGTGTCCATTTTCTAACAGCAGTTTAATCAATTATTCAGTCCTTTGAAAGGCCAATACACAACACAGAAGGAGTGTCCTAAAAAGAAACTTCAGCTTGATTTGTTTTTTAAAGTCAGCAGTTACTCAAGTAAAATCAAGTACTTACCAGTGCCTGGGGTCCAGAGCTGTCTTCCTGCAGATGGTTTTCCTTACCACTGCAGGTTGCAAGTGCCGCCATCTTGGATATAGGAGCTGTGGCTTCCTGAGGAACCACAGTTGGCTCCCAACTGCGCATGCACGAGCCTCCGCAGCCCTTTGCAAATGGTCCTACAGCCTCCTGGGACATGTGATGTGTCCCGGTAGGATGCAGGAAGGGAAGGGGTGGGCAAGGATTGTGGAAGTGGGGGCAGGTAACAATAAATATTGGTGGTTCCCCACCCCTTCCCAGGCTGGGGGAGGAAGCCAACCAGCCAGACTTCAAATTTTGAGTGAAGTTCCACTTTAATTTTTGGGTTAATATCAATGATGCTGGAGCCTTGAAGGCTATGTCCACCTTTCTGTCCATGTTTTATGGTACACACCCATATTTAGGTTGAACATGAAACATGGTGACAGTAAAGAAATCCACTACTCCCTCTTCCTCACCCAGCATCCAACCTTACTTAATCTGGGGGTCCCTGTTGTTTCTGGAAGAAGAAATGAAGGAAAATCTCCCCAAAGGGACACATTCCCTCTTCTGTCCAAGACATCAAAAAAGGCTGTAGATATATTATCTGCCTGCTGGAACAGCCCTGCCCAAAACATGACAAATCCAAATTACTTATTCAGTTTGTTAACTCTGCCTTGAAGACTCCAACCAAAATGTAAATATCAGGAGCAGAACTGGAGAACTTGCTGTTGGAGTCCCCAAGCATGTGAGAAGCCTGGGACCTCTGTCTACTCATACCCAAAATATAACTATTAGTTGGACAACCCGTTTAGGATTCTGATTATTTTAATTGCTCCCCTTTATCATAAAGAAAATATATCTGTGGATGTTACAGGTAGTGCCTCCATTTTTCTTGTGTTGCCATGCATGTGGCCCATTGTCATGTCAATAGAGAAGACATATAGATACTGTACTGTACCTGGTCCCATAGGGCGGCTGCCACCTGATCTATAACAGCTCCAAGTTCCCGGTACTCTCCGGAGTATCTGATATACGCCCATGTGCAGAGTGTGATGAGGGTCAGTCCCATGATCATGTTGCACAAGCTGGCTATAATGTCCAGGCCCAATGAAACCAGTGATAGCAGCCAACACATAGGTGATGAATATGACCACAAAGAGGGTGGCGGGGGTTCGGGCAGCATGGAATATGTTCTTGCTGTCGTTGTGTTTGATGTACTGGACATAAAGCTCGTCAATCTCATTCTCCAGCTGCTGCAGGTATCTTCTGCTGAACTCCTCGCCCCCCATTTTCTTCACACTACGGAACAGCTTGACGGAATCGTCCTTTAGCTCCTGGTGTTTATGCTGCAGGTCAGTGGGCGCTAAGAAGGGCCTGTCTCCTCCACATACCTGGTTGACATGAGGAAGGAAGAATATATTTTAAAAAATATATATTTTTAAAAATATCTTTTTAAAAAATATATTCTTCAGATTTTTTTTTAACATATGCAAAAGTCATTTTAACATATATTTTTACATATATTCGTAAATGCATTCCAAAAATGTAGATTTGTATTTTTAAAGACATACATTATAATTGAAATGTATTTTTTTAAATATTTTTTCATATATTTTGTAATAAAAACGCATTTCAACACACACACATATATACACATATATATATATATATATATATATATATATATATATATATATATATAATTTTTATTTTTATTTTTTAATATATTTTGAAATATATTGAATATGGCCCAAATTGAAGTACTTCAAATATATGTCAATATATTTGGGAAGAATATTTTTCAAATATATTTCAAATATATTTTTCTTCCATATGGGCATTTATAGCTTGGACAGCCTCAAGACTGCTGATAATGATAACAAATGTTCTATGTAGGTAACCCATTTTTTTTTTTTTCTCATGGTTTTGTTCAACTTCATACACAAGAACGGCAATTATGATGCATTTATTGATAAGAAACAACACTGTGTAAGTCATTTTAGGTAGGTCGTGTATAATGCCAATTAAGCTTTCTGTTGACTAAACAGGCCAATACGCAAGTAGGCAGGTGCAGTCTGCTTTCTCCACTGTAGGTGGCGCTCGACTGAAGTGGTACTGCAGCTCAGTTCCCTGGGACAGAGTTCTGGTTGGTCGTGCTGCATCCAAGTGACCCTGGCGGACATCTTGGGTCACGCCGAGCCTCTTTTAAGTGCCTGCCCCCTTTGCGCACATTGGCAAAGTGGCTAGTGTAGGAAGAGGTACCCCACCTGTAAGGGAGAGCACTAGCAGTAGAGAGAGGTTCCAGAGGAGTAAGGAAAGAGTAGGGCCTATGTCTACACTTCTGCAAGCTCCTGCTGTGGTCAGATGGACCATGCCACACTCCACTTCGATCACCAGGCGCTGTCTTCAGCTCAGGCCTGCTATCGCTAATCTCCGCTGCATTGATTGTGTGTTTCCTGGATGGGCGTTCTCCCCTATGGGCTGTTGACTGTTTTTGCAAGTTCTTCAATATACTTGTTTCTGCATCTGGGCCTCAGTGTCCTTCCTGCCACTGCACCACGCTGCACCCAGCCTGCACGCAAGTGGAAATTATTTCATGAAAATTAATTCACTTACCTCTTCCATTTTTTTTTATTGTACAAGTCTTTTGCTGTGGCCACGGCTGCCAAGTTGTTAGCTTCTGCTGTAGCCTGATGAGGAAGAGACAATACAAATATTAATAGGGACGGTGGGGTTATACTAACCATCAAGGCTGATTATTGAGATATCTATTAAAGCCCCACTCCAGCCGAAACTATTGTTTTGTTCTAAAGGGTGGATATTGAGGACTGCCTACTACAAGAGGTGATATCACTTTTTGAAACATTTATAAGAGCATCAAATACAGCCAATGTGTGTTTTATGGGGAAAGGCCTCCCCCTTCCTCGGGGCTAATGTCATGGAAATTTTGTATTGTTGGTCGAACTTTAAATGTGTCATATATTCGTGTTATTCATATGTCTCTCGTGTGGCTTAATTAAAGCTCTGAAGGCTGCAATTGGGCCATGTGCATGTACAATGTATGTATTACAGTACTCAGCTCGGTAACGGATGAGATGGCAGATCTGCGCTTATAGACCGGCGTGTATACCACCACGGCATTCGATGCGAATGCCGCTGGCAGTAGACCGCGGGCCTGTATCCACATATCAGCAGCATAGTACCACATGGACTCCGTGCCGCAAGGCGCCAAGCGGTACGAACTCCGCGTGTAGGCTTATGCATATCTTACAACCCATTACCAATCTGAACTGTATCCGGATGGATGTGTTTTAATAAAGATCTTATCGGGCCCATCCAGGTACAGACTGATATTTCTAGGGAATGCTTGTACAGAGAATGAACATACTGCTAGGAGCTGGAACAATATATGCTCTCCATAGAGGGCTCATGGGAGGAAGGGGAGGAGATATGCTCTCCATAGAGGGCTCATGGGAGGAAGGGGAGGAGATATGCTCTCCACAGAGGGCTCATGGGGGGAAGGGGAGGAAGTCTGCTGACCTCAGAAGGCTCATGGGAGGAAGGGGAGGAAGTCTGCTGACCTCAGAAGGCTCATGGGGGAGGACCAGTGACAGATAATAGAAAAGGTTATGCTCCAATCGGAATGTACATCCTGTGTATAGGCACTCCCCATTGCATTGTTCTGTGGGAGGGAATTGACCTTATTCATGTGGGTGGGGGGGGGGGGCGTGTGTGTGTTTGTAATAAAACCGGGGGCTGAGTCTGAAGCCGGCCCTTATGTGAATTCAACCATCAACCTGAAGGTGTCATGTGATCATTTCCAGGTATAGGGAGCTCCAATCACCCACATTTCAACAGAAGCTAAAGTAGTTGGATGGGCAGGAATCGTGTAGTTTAGCTGCAGTCGTGGTAAGCGAGATTCGCACAGCTTTATGGGGGATTTCTGCGCATCCAACTGCGAGTACTCATGGTAAGGAGAAATTCGTTAAAGCGAATTTCCAAGACACTAATGCGCAAAAGAGCACTAAAAAGTACAGAGAAGGGCAACCGAACTGATGCAAGGCATGGAGGAGCTCAGCTAGGAGGAAAGATTAGAGGACCTGAATTTATTCTCTCTTGAGAAGAGGAGATTAAGGGGGGATATGATCTCCATGTATAATACATAAGGGGGGGATATGATCAACATGTATAATACATAAGGGGGGGATATGATCTCCATGTATAATACATGAGGGGGGATATGATCACCGTGTATAATACATAAGGGGGGGGGGGATATGATCTTCGTGTATAATACATAAGGGGGGATATGATCTCCATGTATAATACATAAGGGGGGGGGGGGATATGATCACCATGTATAATACATAAGGGGGGGGGGATATGATCACCATGTATAATACATAAGGGGGGATATGATCACCATGTATAATACATAAGGGGAGATATGGTCTCCATGTATAATACATAAGGGGGGATATGATCACCATGTATAATACATAAGGGGGGATATGATCTCCATGTATAATACATAAGGGGGATATGATCTCCATGTATAATACATAAGGGGGGATATGATCTCCATGTATAATACATAAGGGGGATATGATCTCCATGTATAATAAATAAGGGGGGATATGATCACCATTTATAATACATAAGGGGGGATATGATCTCCATGTATAATACATAAGGGGAATATGATCTCCGTGTATAATACATAAGGGGGATATGATCTCCATGTATAATACATAAGGGGGGATATGATCTCCATGTATAATACATAAGGGGGGATATGATCTCCATGTATAATACATAAGGGGGGGGGATATGATCTCCATGTATAATACATAAGGGGGATATGATCTCCATGTATAATACATAGGGGGGGATATGATCTCCATGTATAATACATAAGGGGGATACACATTATGTATAATACATAAGGGGGATATGATCTCCATGTATAATACATAAGGGGGGATATGATCTCCATGTATAATACATAAGGGGGGATATGATCACCATGTATAATACATAAGGGGGGGGATATGATCACTATGTATAATACATAAGGGGGGGATATGATCTCCATGTATAATACATAAGGGGGGGGGATATGATCACTATGTATAATACATAAGGGGGGATATGATCTCCATGTATAATACATAAGGGGGGATATGATCACCATTTATAATACATAAGGGGGATATGATCTCCATGTATAAATACATAAGGGGGGATATGATCTCCATGTATAATACATAAGGGGGATATGATCTCCATGTATAATACATAAGGGGGGATATGATCTCCGTGTATAATACATAAGGGGGATATGATCTCCATGTATAATACATAAGGGGGGATGATCTCCATGTATAATACATAAGGGGGATATGATCACCATGTATAATACATAAGGGGGGATATGATCACCATGTATAATACATAAGGGGGGATATGATCACCATGTATAATACATAAGGGGGGATATGATCTCCATGTATAATACATAAGGGGGATATGATCACCATTTATAATACATAAGGGGGATGTGATCTCCATGTATAATTCATAAGGGGGGATGTGATCTCCATGTATAATACAAAAGGGGGATATGATCTCCATGTATAATACATAAGGGGGGATATGATCTCCATGTATAATACATAAGGGGGGATATGATCTCCATGTGTAATACATAAGGGGGGATATGATCTCCATGTATAATACATAAGGGGGGGATATGATCTCCATGTATAATACATAAGGGGGGGATATGATCTCCATGTATAATACATAAGGGGGTGTATGATCTCCATGTTATAATACATAAGGGGGGATATGATCTCCATGTATAATACATAAGGGGGATATGATCTCCATGTATAATACATAAGGGGGATACATTATGTATAATACATAAGGGGGATATGATCTCCATGTATAATACATAAGGGGGGATATGATCTCCATGTATAATACATAAGGGGGATATGATCTCCATGTATAATACATAAGGGGGATATGATCTCCATGTATAATACATAAGGGGGGATATGATCACCATTTATAATACATAAGGGGGGATATGATCTCCATGTATAATACATAAGGGGGGATATGATCACCATTTATAATACATAAGGGGGGATATGATCTCCATGTATAATACATAAGGGGGGATATGATCTCCATGTATAATACATAAGGGGGGATATGATCTCCATGTATAATACATAAGGGGGGATATGATCTCCATGTATAATACATAAGGGGGGATACGATCTCCATGTATAATACATAAGGGGGGATACGATCTCCATGTATAATACATAAGGGAGGATATGATCACCATTTATAATACATAAGGGGGGATATGATCTCCATGTATAATACATAAGGGGGGTGATCTCCATGTATAATACATAAGGGGGGATGTGATCTCCATGTATAATACAAAAGGGGGGATATGATCTCCATGTATAATACATAAGGGGGATATGATCTCCATGTATAATACATAAGGGGGGATATGATCTCCATGTATAATACATAAGGGGGGATATGATCACCATGTATAATACATAAGGGGGGATATGATCTCCATGTCTAATACATAAGGGGGGATATGATCACCATGTATAATACATAAGGGGGGATATGATCTCCATGTCTAATACATAAGGGGGGATATGATCACCATGTATAATACATAAGGGGGGATATGATCACCATGTATAATACATAAGGGGGGATATGATCTCCATGTCTAATACATAAGGGGGGATATGATCACCATGTATAATACATAAGGGGGGATATGATCACCATGTATAATACATAAGGGGGGTATGATCTCCATGTATAAATACATCAGTGGTTCATATAGTGAACTCGGTGTAGAGCTATTCACCGTGAGGTCATCACAGAGGACAAGGGGGCGCTCTTTATGTCTGGAGGAAAAGAAATTTAATCTCCAAACACAGAAAGGTTTCTTCACAGTAAGAGCTGTGAAAATGTGGAATAGACTCCCTCAAGAGTTGGTTCTGGCCAGCTCAGTGGTTTACTTTAAAAAAAAGTCCTGGATTCTTTCTTGGATACACATAATATAACTGGATACTAACATTTATAGGTAACGTTGATGGGTTTCCAGGGAATATCCGATTGCCTCTCGGGGGATCAGGAAGGAATTTTTTTTCCCTGCAGGAGCAAATTGGCTCATGCTTTGCTGGGTTATTTTGCCTGCCTCTGGATCAACTGTGGGTGTAGCATTATAAAAAAAAATTTTTTAATGGTTGAAATGGATGGACTTTTGTCTTTTTTCAGCCAGACTATCTGTATAAACTGCAGTATGTTACATTTTTGGTTTTGAGTTTAGATACATTTTAAATCACCTTACAAGCATTTGAAAAACTAAACTCGTTTACCTGTAACATTGATTTTGGGTGTGGTAGCTCCTCTCCTTGGTAAATCTTGATGTAGGCCTGTTATGGAAGAAGTCGTGTCATATTAGCAATTTATCATCTTAATTTCCTAATAACAAACACAATGGCTGTAAAACACGTTGGAATGGTTTTGTAACTCTCTCTCGTGTAAAATAAAGATTTAATGGACTTACATTATACTAATTAATAATATTGAAGATTATATCGGCCTAATAATTTCTACAACACTTTACACTAGTTAAGTCTCTGATTTTCGGAGGGCAGCTAAACAGCAGCTTCCAGGTGTTCAGAAGGCAATCCTGTCACCTCCTGAGTGTCTGTTTTTAAGCAACAATTTTGAATGGAATGAATGTGTTGGAACCATAGTCCAAGCATTTGGCTTACAGTTGCAGCCTGGTCCCATTAAGTTGAATGTGCGAGTTTGATAGCTGATGCTGCATTTCTTTGATGCGGCCATGACGCAAAGCATTTCAGCATGTTTACAGTCCCTTTTCAGCTGTATGCTATGTTTTAGGTAGGTGGTTGGGGGGGTCAAAACCACAGCTTCACTGCTTGTTTTTACTGCCCTATGGTCACCCATGTGAAAGCGGCCTTATGGGAGACAGTACAGTTACAATCCAATACAGGAGGGTTCAGAGGGCCCTGCTTATGAGAGCTTGAGATTTGAAGCAGCCATTCTCAACCAGGGTTCCATGCAGTGCCAGGACAAGGTCAGCCAGCGCCAAGGGCAAAGATGTCAGTCTCCCCCCCCCACCTCCCCATTCATAATGTATAAGTTTATGAGATCCTATACCCACCAGTCTCTCACTTGTCAAAATCACTGCAGCTCAGTTTTAACACTGGGCACATGCTTGTTTTGATGGCTGCCCACTTCTGACAATCTCCTGGACACTTCTGCAGTAGGCGGTGCAGGCTGTGTACTCTCCCCCCACCTCCTACCCTCTAGTATAGCTCCTGTGTTTTTGTGAACACTGCCGCCTGCTTGTTGATACAGGAGTACTACACTGGCAGGAAGGAGCAGAGGGAGTGAGAACACAGCTTGCACCATGTCCTGGCTTTTCTCCTCCTCCCCTCGCTGCTCGCTGCTCCCAGCATTGGGCTGACAGGAGTAGTGATATTGTTGTCACTACCCCTATCGCTCCCATCCCTACAGTAAACGATTGCTCCCAGGGCAGCTATCCCTCCCGCTCACCCCTTGTCCCGGCCCTGGTTCCATGGAACCCCGAGGTTCCTCTAGAGGTTGCTTGGTGTTCATTGAGCTGTGGCTGACTGACCTTTCATCTGATGGTGCCTGCATAGCTTCCAAGTCCAACACCACTTGGCAGAGCCAGCTGCATGACATTAATGGTCTTTATAGCTGTCTGTAAGGGTTGCATTCTTCCTACTGACCCTCAGAGTAAAAAGTATTTTTCGCACTGGATGAATTAGTTTTAGCAAGGTTTCGCAAAGACCTGATAATTATTTTAGGGTCGTTCTGAAGTTAAAAGGTTGAGAAACATTGATCTAAATAGAAGGGCAACCGATATAAAACTTAATAACTCTGTTGGGATGAGTTGCTGGACAAGGCAGAGTAGGAGACAGCCAGACAGATTGAAGTAGGCAGTTCCAGAGGATGGGAGAGGCTCTCAGGGATGAGCATGGGAGAAGGTGACGAGGGGGCTAGAGAGCAGGAGATCTTGTGGTGCTCTCATGGTCTCCACATTCCATAGATACTCAGGGGACCTCCAAAGACCGACAGACAGCTGCGTCCAAAGCTTTCTCTCTCCTGTTTTGAGTCCAGTGCTCTACCAACACGTCTATTGTCTGCACATGTTTGGGGAAGAAAGTGGGACATAAAGGTGGACATGGAGTTCCAGTTTAAAGTGAAGCTGTCAAATGTTGTAAAGAGGGTATGCGGGCCTCCTTCTGACAGCCTGGAACAAGCTTCCTGTAAAGGAGTGTCAAAACAATTGTCGGGAACTCACTGACACATCATTATGACATCAGAACATGAAGTCTCATAACAGTTTTCCTTTAAACTACAATTCAGCTTGAGTCATATCTGCTGCTATTCACTATTTTTTTTTCTATTGGAAAAGCTGATGAAAAAATTCCCCTTCTGGATCTCTTCTCATGTATTCCCATCACACTCCTTCCTAGGAACAGCCTGGAGTAAGAAGATGTTGTAGCAACAGCCAGCTAGAGATCTGGTAATATCAACATAGAAGAGAACATATGACGGCAGCACACCATAGATCCATATCATACAATCTAAATATTTATTAACCACTTGCCCTGCAGAGGATTTACCCCCCTTCCTGACCAGGCCATTTTTTGCGATATGGCGCTGCGTTACTTTAACTCATAATTGCGCGGTCATGCAATGCTTCACCCTAATGAAATTTATGTCCTATTTTCCCCACCAATAGAGCTTTCTTTTGGTGGAATTTGATCACCTCTGCGGGTTTTATTTTTTGCGCTATAAACAAAAAAAAACTGACAATTTTGAAAAAAAAAATTTTTTTTTTGACTTTTTGCTATAAAACATATCCAATAAAAAAATTTAAAAATAAAATTTCTTCATAAATTTAGGCCAAAATGTATTCTGTCTTTGCTAAAAGAAAATTCCAATAAATGTATATTTATTGGTGTACATGAAAGTTATAGCATCTACAAATGGCGGTATATATACTGGAATTTAAAAAAAGTTTTATACTAGCAATGGCGGCAATCAGCGACTTATAGCGGGCCTTCTTACACTGGGGGGGAACTGACTAATTGTCAATGACATCTCCAGTGACACTAATACAGTGATCAGTTCTAATAAAAAGCACTGACACTGTACTAATGACCCCTGATGATGTCATTTGAAAATGCGTAGGGTGGAGATACACACACACACATGCTACCATGCATGCGCAACCGGCCGGCCTTATTGGATGCTGGAAAGACCTGTTTTTAATGTTTGTACATGCCGAATTGTGCCGTTTACCATGTGAGTGCAGTTTCTATTTAATACATTTTGGATCTTTGATAGTTTTACTCTATGTGGACAAATCTTTCATTGCATGTATTGTGCTAAGGGTTTTTGGTCTAATAACTCATCTTGGAACAGTTGGAGCTATTGGAGGATCATTTGTCATTTCCTTGGGTGTATGGTGTACTTCTTGATGCTACCAATGATATCCCATGAAACGCAGGCTGACCACTCTTAGTAGGGGGTCACGTGCAGGGGTGGACTGACCATTTGGAAACTCGGGCACTTCCCGAGGGCCCGGGGTCAGTAGTGGGCCCCATGAGATGCCCCTGGTACCTTTTTCATAGGCTTTTTTGAGTTTGGGCAAGGACACAGGGGCCCCATGATCCCCTATTGCCCAGGGGCCCCATGAGTTGTCAGTCCGCCCCTGGACACGTGCCTTCTGGTAAGCCTTGCACGTGAGTGGATGGTGTCACATTGGCTAGTCTTTGGAAGTCTTCTGATCTCACTACGGTTCTGGGACTACACTATCAGAACCTGTTTGTCTCTGGCTTGTGACATGCGAGCTCCTAAGGTGGAGATTTCCCCCAACTTCTGATGCTCCTGATCTGGTGATAACTTGGAGCTGTCCCTGGGAGCAGAGAGTGTCCTGTGAGGGAGTGGTGTTACCCTGTGTGCCTATGGTGTGCCTGATGACCCCGTAACCCCTGCCCAGACCCAGATGACCACTGGTGGATATATATACACATGCGCATACCTTTTGCGCTTCTAGTAAGTGTAGCAAACTTGCTCATCAGAGTTGGATGCGGAGTTCCCCCTTTTTATTAGAAGTATTCCTCAATCCTTCCTTCCCTACCCACTCCCTTACTGAGAGGCACATGGACAGATGTGTGTTAAAAGTTGCTGACAGGCTAGAACAACAGGGGGCCCAGTGCTACAAAGCCCCGCCATGAGCAGCAGACGCTTAGTTTCAAGGCCTGGGAAAACTCACCCCTCCTAATCAAGATAAGGCAGCTTTTCCCGGACTTGAAAGAAGTCGGAACCTCATAAAACCTACCAGCCAGGTGACAGAAGTTAATTGAACATTCCTCAGGTCAGCTGTCACCTATGTTTCATATCATGGATTATGAAGCTGTTGGTTTTAATTCAGAGTCTGCCGACATCCCACCCAAAACAGGGTATTGGCCAATTTCAGAGCCACCCCCCTTGCAGGGGGATTTTTAAAAAGACAGGCTGGCAAGCCTAAAGTTGAAGCTAAACACATCTCCTGATCTTAACATCGTAACAGCAGGAGATCAAAGACCCTTTCCGCTTACAAACCAAGGCATATTGGCAAGTAAGTTAACCCTTTAACTTCATCCTATTATCTCTTTGCTGTGTTGTGGGTATATAAATATATATCTTATATACATCTTTTTCTGTAAATATTTTATTGCACCTGTTTGACTCTTTTAGTAATAAATCTTTCTTTCTGAAAGTGTTAAACTGTTTTTAAGTGCTTACTTGCAATTCACGAATAGTGCAGAACACTGTACCTTTAATTTAAATGCCCTTGGAGTCTGCTGGGGAAGAGAAATAATACTGTCTGTCAGTATGACATGCAGATGAGTGCCGTCGATCTTAGAATCACTGCACACTTCACTCCTTTGGCCAGTCACGGGGCCAAAACCAGTGTTTGGAGCCACAGTGTGGCGGTGGAGGCAGCAGCAATGGGAGGCCATACAGCAACCTATGACAAAATGGAAACCAGCAGGAGCGTGAGGAGACCTGAAAGTGGCACATGGCAGAGTGGGAGCAATGGGAGGCCCGGTACAGGGACCCAGGTCACACTGTGGGCCCAGCAGCAGCGTGACCAGGCGGTACGGGGGCCCATGGCCGATATGGGGCTTGGTGGCACCTATGGAAGGCCTGTAATCTGCCAGCAACCTATGACAAAATGGACAACCGCAGGAGTGTGTGAGGAGATTTCAAAGTGGCACATGGCAGAGTGGAAGCAATGGGAGGCCGTACAGGGACCCAGGTCACACTGTGGGCTCAGCAGCAGCGTGACCAGGAGGTACGGGGGCCCATGGTCGATATGGGG